TGTAATTGGGTTCTCCCGAAATTTTTCAAATTTCTCACAAATCTTCCACGAATTTCGTTTTTTTCCCACGACAAGCTTATAACATTACTTATAATATTTAATATATCATTCTAAATAACTTGATATTAATTGAAAAAGAACTTGCATGATTTTTAATAGGTATATGTATTAACCATTGTATATATATTAACTATATTTATTCTCACCACTTACTTCTGTATTTCTGTTTCATTGTTTTATACTTATAAAACGTACAATATATATATATATATATACAATAAAATAAATAAATACAAGAAAATTAAGAGAAACAATAAGTTTCATTTATTGCGCATAAGCTGCAAGTAAACAGAACTCACTAGATAAGTTCAAAAAGAGGATAAGAACAAGGAAAATTATAGACATATGAAAAAAAAGGGGAGGAAAGGAAAAATAATTATGAAAAAAAATATAACAAACAACTGGGAGAAAAAAAGGATGAAATATTTTTAAAAATCCGGAAAATAAAAGATAATATCTTTTCATCAGCCCGCACGATTATATCCGCAAAAAAGAGTGCTTTCTTATCCGAACGTACTCTTTTTTGCTGATATTAATATATAAGAGTGGTTTCTTATCAGAAAGCATTATTTTTTGCGGATATAATCGTGTGGGCTGATGAAAAGATTATATCTTTTATTTTCCGGATTTTTAAAAATATTCCATCCTTTTTTTTTTCTTCCCCCAGTTGTTTGTTATATTTTTTTCCATATATTTCTCCCCCCCCCTCCCTTTTTTCATATGTCTATAATTTTCCTTTGTTTNATTATTTTTTAAAAATTGTATTTTTAATGCTTATCTATACATATACATGCATACATATATATATATTATTATATATATATATATTTGTGAATGTGAGACAATTTTAATTCTCGTAAGAGCGCGACAACGTATACAAGTTTAGGAACCCTTAAACCCCAACTGTAAGCTCTAATAAAATAATGCATTGCTTTTCGAATGAAATTAGTAAGTTAAATGTTTTTAATCATAAAAAGTTTTGAGCGAAATGTATCAAACAGCAGTTTTTATATTTAGCATGAACGGTTCATTCGTGGCATTTTTTTTTACAAGAAAAGTAAGTTAATAATATATAAATTTCAAACTCATGTTAGTAAGTCACTTAGCATCGTTTGCCATAAACATAAAAGAATAATCGTACACGCTTATGATGGTTAATTTTTATGATTTTTAATGCATTCGCAGTAAATAAAAAAAGAAACTTCTATTTTTGAATTTACCTTGTATAAATGCACTTAATTACTGGATTTTTAATTCCATTATCATCTTCAGTCTCCTTTTCATCCTTAATTTTCTTTTCATCCTTAATTTTCTTATCATCCCTAATCTTTTTATTGATTTTGTGGTATGGTTCTAGAAAAAAGCAAGCATAATAACGTAAAACGATAAAAAAAAATTTTGGTGGTGTTGTCAAATGTTTTAATTGCAAGGCAAGTACAGTCCCTGCCCAAATTATTAGACGCACTATAAGACTCTATGTAAAATCTTAATAATCAGGTGATACTACACAGGCTTATTGTTTTTACGCCGCCGAAACCGGTTTGCACTTTGTTAAATAGGAATTTAACATTTATTGTAATAACACTTTCGAATAATTATATCGCACCTCTGCACAAGAACTCACAAATCTTTTCTCACACATTTTAAAGACATTCTAGTTTCTGCTTGTAAACAGAACAACATCGAATGATAAGCTCTCCTCAGACACTGCATTCGATGTTGTTCTGTTTACGAACAGAAACTAGAATGTCTTTAAAATGTGTGAGAAAAGATTTGTGAGTTCTTGTGCAGAGGTGCGATATAATTATTCGAAAGTGTTATTACAATAAATGTTAAATTCCTATTTAACACACTTGCTTACGTTCGTGTATCAATTTCTTAACATTGTAAAGCAATACTTTAGAAATAAATACAAATAGGAGGCATATAAAAAAATCACCTGAATAAAAACCCATGTTTCAATGGAAAAGTATTTCATATATACCACGTGAAAAACGTGTAATTATTAAAAAACTACAATGCGTCTAATAATGTGAAGTAATTATTACAATATAATAATATAATACCTGATATAACAAATATTCTATATTTATATAATATGTCATCTTATTTATCCAATCGTCGAATTTATATTATGTATCGCCTAATTTAATATATTGATACACGAACGTAAACAAGTGCAAACCGGTTTCATTCGCGTAAAAATAATAAAGCTGTATAGAGTATCACCTGATAATTCAGATTTTATATAGAATCTTATAGTGCGTCAAATAATTTGACCAGGACAGTAAGCGATACTTGCTCTTGAGAGATATTTCAAAAAAGGGAATTATTAGTAGTTTGCCTTTTGAAAGTGAATTTTAAAAATATTTGTCGTATAATAGACTTTAAAAGTAAGTTGAAATTAATGACTAAAAATTTTAGGAGAGGGTGGGATTATTAAAATACGCACTTCTATCAAAATAGATAAAAGTTTAATAGATTCAGTATTTTAAGAAAATGAATAAAAGCACCAGCTATAAACTTGAGGAATTGATCAGATTTCCACGCATTAAGACTCAATTTTCGTAATACTTAAAAATGCTAATTAATTAGTTCAAACGATATTTTAAGTTATGAAATTAGGCACAAAAACGTACTTTCTCTGAATAAACATGCCTTTTTTTTGATGGATTTAATTTTCAGACTTCTGATGAGGGGGGGAGGATAACCACAATCTAGAAAATATAGTTCTAATAGTTTGGTCAGGACGCGGTTGAAAGTTTAGACTCCTTATGTTAGTTTTACTTTTTTTTGTTATTTTTACCTTCAGCAAATCGAAAAATATTTTGTTCACTGTTATAAAATGTGTTTTTCCAAAGATAATCTCATGCGAAAAATAATTTTAAATATTTATTTCTTATTATTTTATTTAATACCAGTCGAAAAAAAGTTTGAATTATAAAACATACAAATTTTTACACCGTATTAAAGAATGTATTTTTCTGTTTCAAAATGGAAAGTTCAAACAAAATCNATGTCTTTGATGATAATATATTATGTCTTTGTGCTAGAACATTGTGTTCATTGGCGAGCGAGCGCAGCGAGTCATGGTTCACGGCGTGAACCACATAGGATAGCGTAGCAATTCTCGGGGGTTGGCGAGCGTTAGCGAGCAGGGGGCGGAGCCTCCTAGTTTTATATAGAATCTTATAGTGCGTCAAATGATTTGACCAGGACAGTAAACGATACTTGCTCTTGAGGGATATTTCAAAAGAGGAAATTATTAGTAGTTTGACTTTTGAAAGTGAATTTTAAATTTTTTTGTCATATTTTTATAGACATTAAAAGTAAATTGAAATTAATGATTAAAAATTTAGGGGGTGGCAGTATTAAAATACGCAATTCTATCAAAATAAATAAAAGTTAATTATTTTTTGTCGTATACTAGACTTTAAAAGTAAATGGAAATTAATGACTAAAAGTTTAGAGGGGTCGGAGTATTAAAATACGCACTTCTATCAAAATAAATAAAAGTTTAATAGATTCAAGTGTTTTTTTTAAAAAAAATGAATAAAAGCACCAGCAATAATCTTGAGGAGTTAATCCGATTTACACGCGTTAAGACTCAATCTTCGTAATACTTAAATGTGCCAACTAATTAGTTTAAACGATATTTTAAGTTACGAAATCAGGCACAAAAACGTACTTTCTCTTAATAAACATACCTTTTCTTTCGATGGATTTAATTTTCAGACTTCTGGGGGAGGGGGGGATAATCGCAATCTAGAAAATATGGTTATAATAGTTTCGTCAGGACGCGGTTGAAAGTTTGGACACCTTACGCTAATTTTACCTTTTTTTTGTTATTTTTACCTTCAGCAAATCAAAAAATATTTTGTTCACTGTTATAAAATGTGTTTTTCCAAAGATAATCTCATGCAAAAAATAATTTTAAATATTTATTTCTTATTATTTTATTTAATACCATTCGAAAAAAAGTTTGAATTATAAAACATACAAATTTTTACACCACATTAAATAATGTATTTTTCGGTTTCAAAGTGGAAGGTTCGAACAAAATCGATCATAAAGTTTCTAAGTTACCAAATTTTCAAAAATGTGTAATTTTAAAATTTGATTTATTACTTTTTATCATTGCTTGATTAGATAAATTTTATTTTTAAATTTAATAATGATAAAAAAAGTAATTGTAAAAAAATACGTATATATCTTTTCATTCTCTTTCAATAACTCAATTTTAAGGAGCAAAATCAATCTTCCATTTTGATGATATCATTTGAATAGTTTCCTAGAAATGAAGTTTTGATTCATCATAAAGTTTTTGTTCCTCAAACTAAACTTTCCCTCAAAGTTTTTAATTTTCTCATTTATTACATATAATGTAAATTGATTAATCCAATAAATTGGAATATTTATCCAAAATTGTGTCTGAAAATCATAAATGAAATTCGGATCTTTCTGAAAAGTTCGAACCATTACGATACTGGTATTATTTAAATAGATGCTATTAGCACTTAAATCATTAAGTAATTAAAAATGGAGCATATTCTTTTACCTCTTATCTGTTGATTGATTGATAGTGTCTGATTAGTTCAATGACATAGGCCATAAATTAGAAGAAAAAAATTTAACATACTTATTATAAAAGCTGTCTCAGTTTTGTCAAAACCATCATAGTGATGCAAAATAAATTCGTCTTGGGAGTTCATTAAAATTCTTTTTGATGTTCCGAACAAAACCGTGTAGTGGTGGCCACAGATCAACAGAAATATGGGGTACATAGGATTTTTGTAGAAGCTCCCAATCTATAAATTTAAATGAATACAGTAGTAGTAGTACTGGTAGATTCGATAGTACTGGTAGATTCGAATTCCGCACCCGACTCGCACCTATCACAGTGCAGGCTTGAAATATCCTTTGTTGTAGACGGATCATGGGTTAAATTCTCCTTGCAGTCAGGCTAACCGTGGGAGGTTTTCGTGGTTTTCCTCTCCATGTAACTAAAATGCGGATCAGTTCCATCAAAAAATCTTCCACGAGGGCAAATTTCTCCCAATACTCAATTCAGGAGTTCTCTTGTCTTCTGGATTGGGTTCAAAATTACAAGGCTACGGAATTGAAAGTTGGTAGTCGTAAACCTAAAATTGGGTCGCCTGTTCAACGGCGGTTATAAAAATAAATATAGCTATTGTGTAGCTCTAGAGAGACGTAAATAAGCAATTATTGCTTATTGTATAAGTAACTTTAATTTTTTTTTAAATCTATGATAGGTTATGCACCTGCTGTATGATGTAAGAAATGCATGAATAGTGTTTGAAAAAAATTGCTTTGTTTTGTTTTTTGATGCCTTACTGAAATGAAATAATTTTATGCAAAGACGTCTGAATATTTTATTAAATATATATTTTTATTTGTTAAGAAATTGTATCTAAAAAGGCGTAATCAAATAAATTTTAAGTCAACTATTAACTTTGTGAGGAGGTATGAAACACAACATTTACATGACAGATTATTATTTTATCATTATTATACAGATGTTAAATATTGTGAGACATAACTATATTACTAATATTTGTAAAATATAATTAACTTGCAAATTGTTTAATTCCTAATATGTCATACCACGTGTTGCCTAATATAAGAGACTGCTTCATTTTAAGCACCCATAGTTATTTTTTACTTTATAACCAGGAGTTGAACAGACTATCCAATTCTGAGCTTACGACTACTAATGTTCAACTCCTTAGCCATGTAATTTTGAACTCAATCCAGAAGACAAAGGAACTCCTGGATCAAGCATTGAGAGAAATAAGCTTTCGTGTAGGACCTTTTGATGGAGCTAACCCACATTTGCGTTACATGGGGATGAAAACCACGAAAACCTCCATTGGTTAGTCTGAGGTCAAGGGAACTCTAATCCATGATCCGTCTACCACTGTGGATATTTTACGTCAGCAATGTGGTCAGAGCGAGTCTGGTGCAGAATTAGTATCGACAAGCCACCGTTGGGATTCGAACTCGGGTTACCTTGTTTGATGTCGAACGCTCTATTCCCTGATTCACCTCCTGTGAAATTGTTTTGAATTAAAAATGTAAATTTTTTTTATCTTTTTGGATCAATAAGAAGTATACCTCTCAGAATAATAGCATTCAGTCATTAAAGAACTTAAATGCCACGCTTAGTACTGTAAGTTCTCTATAGGAGGTTTTAACCATCCATAATATTCCAACAAAATGTGAATAAAGTTTCCCATGTAAGAAACAGTTGATCTAACTTGACATACGGGAACAGAATATGATGCGCTTTGTCGTTATGGATCTTTGTATAAAGGAAATTTACAGCTACAACAAACAGATGAAAACTAATACAGAGATAAAGAAGATGTCATTAAAGAGAAAAGTCATTGTTGACTCGTTTAGTGACTCAAATGAACATTTAACACTGTAACATTTTGAATCTTTGTCTTCGTAGTCATTATTTTTAAAGATTCAAAATCTGGCTCTGAAGACGAAAATTCAGAATGTTGATTTTGATAGGTGGTGACAATCTTAAGCACCATAATTATTTAAAACTAGTATGCAAATGAAGTTCTGCGAAATATGAATACATAAACCAAATTAACACTAGCATAAATTATTTTTTCCTTCTTTTTTTGTGTTTAAGGCAAATGTTTTTAAAATAATAATTAAAATTTACATATTTAACTTGCCCATTTGGAATTATACAATATACATAGATTTTGTTGATTTTATGATGTTTTAGAGATGAAATGGCCCTTTTGAGTGCTGAAAGTTTGGATAATCCGCAATAATTTTTTGGCGCACCAAATGTACATTAGATAATATAATAATGAACACCATAATAATTATTGTGTTTTTACCATTATTTAAAAAAAATTCTCATATTAGGAACCCTTTCTCTATAGCAATTATATAATGGAGGAATATTACAACATCATTATTAGTCAAACATTTTTTAAAGATTAATTTTTTTACATGAGATTGTTCCTTATTATTGTCTACAGATAAGTATTAAACGAATTAACGAAACTTCTTCTAAATGACAACACTATGTATATGAATATTTCTTTGCATATACTCTGTACCTAAATATATGGCTCACCATAGGAACCAAGGAACTTTCCTGAACAACCTAAAAATGTGACTGATCATTACATGTGTGGCTTATCATCATATCTCAACCCTTCAATTGTAATATGTCTTATGATGTTACAAAATATATACAGTAGAGTAGCACCGATAATTAAAACGCCGAAGGAAACCGCCGAATTGCTTCCTATTTTAGAATATCTAAAAAAATTCGGGAAAAAGTTTTTTTTTTTTCTTCTTTTCTTTTTTTCTCTCTTGGTGACCTTGAAAATAACTTACCGTTCTTTTTGCCCAGTTTCAATGTTGGTGGCTGGTGGCAAGTAGTTTCTAATAAGATTTCGAATAGAATTTTAAAAAAATTAAACTTTAAAACACAGCATTTGTAATATGCTACAGTAGGCACTAAGAGGATTAGAATACGATTGGAATACGACTGGAAAAACTGTGCAGCAAAGTTACCTAAAATCATTTTTAATTCAAGCGTTTTTTTTATTTCATTTTCATAACTGTTTAATTATCCAGATTTTTGAATCTAGTTCGGATTTGACCCCGATTGGTACGGATAATTGACTGTCGACTGTATTTTAAAGTATGAAACAAAATAAAAAATTTTCAATATTACAAATTAAGTTTTTTTTTCTTAATTAAAGTTGTAGTGTGTTTCGGACTAACTACTTTGAAAAAGTAACTTATATTTTATAAAACGTACTGCACAGTGTTGATCGAGTGCCGATAGGAGTCCAATTTCTGATTTATGAGGGATTCCATGTAGAAGAGACGTTTCTGAACCACCAAAGTCACGCTCTTGGTTGCCATCGAACAGATGAGGTACAGCTTTTCCAACAAGCATTAAGTTTATTATTTCCTGTAAACAACTCAATACATCAACTCTTACAAACAATTTTTAAATAATGTAACAATCTACAAATACTTATGCATGTTATTCAAAATAACTAATATTTACTTCAACAAATTATATTTGCTAAATTGTTTTATAATTTTTCCGGACAAGAAAGAAGAGAAAACATTGTTTTATAACTTTCCCAGTCAATTGTGCCTTCAAAGTTAGTTTTACAAAATTTGAAATTCATAATTTTAAAACTTACTTGGAATAAATAACCCTGTTTCCTAAGTAAAATATGCATTTCTATCACTTTCCGTTTCTTTAAATGATCTTTCAAATAAAGAAAAGTTTAATGTATGTTACAAGTATTTAATTTATCGTTTCGAGCAAATTTGTTTCATATCTGTTTTGTGCTTAAAGAAGTGCATCCATAATTTGTGTATTAATTTAAATTTCAACCGAATTGTGACATTTGAATATAAAAGAAACAAAACTACTTTATTTTTAAAAATATTGCTGCAAGTTTAATATCTATATCTAATTTACTAGATCGCTATAAGCACTTGTTCAATACATCGCTTAATATATTATTGTAATTTTTCATTCAAAAATCAGTCGGGTGAGGAAGACTTTTCAAGGTAATTACTTTAATTCGCTAATTTTTATTTAATTTTTATGGTAAACACTATTTTGATCGAACGAATCACTATTGAGGAAGGTAGCATTAAAAAATTAAAATCTGCTTCCTGCACGAAGAAATAAATAGGCGTCAAATGGCAATTAATGTAAGCACCGGCATTAATGTAAGCAAAGTATTTCAACCGGCATTTAAACAGGTTTTGATTTTTATAGCCTCACCTTCCTCAACAGTAATTCATCGCATTTTAGCAGTGATTTTTGTTTCTTCCTAGTTCAAATACTGATTTGCGACTTTTGAGAGTATACTTTGTTGACTTCAGTTTGGACTAGAATACAAAAATTTATACGATAAGAACGATCATGATGAAATACTCTGCATATTTGAACCAAATAAACATTGTTTATTTTTTTTAATTTTTTTTTCTTCGTAAATTAAAGTTTATTTACCAAGACAATTTAAAAGTAAAATATTTTATCTTTACGTATGCTGATAAGGGTTACGTGATATAGTGATTCATATAATGGACTTACCTGAGAGGCGAAACCATCAATTCCAATTAGGTATTCTGTATTTTCGGATTCCCTTTTTGTTCTGTAAAATATTACAACAGTTAGGAGAAAAGGATTATAATTATAAATAATAACAAATTATATTAATAACTTGGTATTATTTATAATTATTTTATTTACACGATGAACATGGGTATATTATATTTTCCGTCTGCCACAAAAAATATTTTGCGTAAACATTGTGGTCAATTCTATGGAACTCTATAGTCTAGGTGTTTTGTTAGTATCCGAAAACAAAGGAGTTTCTATAAATTTGCTAATAAAATAAAGGAAAAATTTGCTTTCTCAAAAAAGTTTATGAGTGACAGTTTTCCACATATTTGTAAAACGGAGAGAAAAACCATAAAAACATTCCATGGTTAGCCTGATGTTTGGGAGACTCTAAATTAAGGTAGGTCTAACACTTCGAATAACGCTCAGCATTACGGTCTGTGCAAGGTGGTAGAAGTATATGAATAAATAGACTATCGCTGAAATTCCATCGCTCCATTTAGAAACGAGCACTCTTTTCCTTGGACCATACATCGTTAGTAATTGTAATATTTTAATCTAAATAAAAAACATTATTATTGGCAAATTTGTACATACATACACAAATAAGAGTAATAAAATATTAACCCCAAATGTTTTACAGTCAATTTACATGTCAAACAGTTTTTTAATTAGGGCCGGAATAACCTGATCGGTAGGCTGCTGGACCCCTGTGCGAGAGTTCGTGGGTTTGAACCCCGCTGACCGAAGACTCCTCATGTAGTAAATAGTGACTGATGCACCTTAAAATCTGTCGAGTCGCAAAGTCCTCCATGCTCTCATAACAAAGCAATACCTCTGGGGTTACTGGATTGGAGATCGATAGTTCTCTGATTCAGGTCTAAATTACGATCTGTGGATGAATGCATGAATGTATGAATGGGTCCGCCCTATAAACAGGTGTGACGTATGGGTGTGACAGAAATCGAATTCTTGGCCATAGATGGCGCCACTGGAAAACAAGAACAATCACACCCCTCTGCCTAAACAGGCATACGCAACAACAACAATATATACCTTGTAGAATTTTTTCGTATGTGTGACTTATTGATTAAAACCCGTCCTGCTGCTCTTTATGTGTAGCTTATTACATTTCATTCGGGAAATGGGCCATTGAGTGAAGCTTCAGTTCACTTCAATCAATTCAAATAATATTTGATACAATCTATTTTTATTATGCAACACAATAATGCTTTGTCACAAAATAGATGAAATTTCGTTTTTCCGTTGGCAACGAAAAACGGAAGCTAAGTGGAAGCTGTATGTGTGACAGAAATGAAAGAATAAAAGCCAACAATTCATTCATGCAAACAAACTGGTCTATATTTTTTATTTAAATTTTAATTATTAACTTACGCAAATAACATCATAATTCATAAGCTATATTTTAGTTTTAAGACATTTACATAGTTTCTCCTAACAAGGTTTTCTATTTTCTGAAGAAATATCTATGTTATGATTTGTTTTATTCTGAGCAATTTGACAACAAGTATGAGGCAATGCTAAGAAAACTTCCAAAGTTCTTGCAGAAATAATAAAACCCACTCAAAACAGGAAATAACGTACCTTTTTTCTAAGCTGCAATCGTCTGCCAACTCAAACATTTCATTAAAAGATAATTATGCAAGGGTATGTATTGATTTTGTTTTTCTCAATTGGATACCCACAAACGACGTCACGTGTGAGTCAGCCAACCAGGTTCAACACACATGCATGATGTGGCTCACAAGTTTCCAATTAAATCTGATCCGAAATTTGATTCAGATTGATAATAAACATTTTAGCTGTAACATTAATACCACATGCACAACCACGTGAAGACACAACAATGTGATTAGTTGGAAGTACCCTATTCAAGTTTTTTGTCACATGCGCACAAGATTGCTTCTAATTAACCTATTTAGTTAAAAATTGGTAATTTAATCTTGGTAAGTATACTTGGTAAGCATAGCATGTTGTTTAAATTGACTTGAATATTAGTAAATATTTTATATCTTTGCGGAACAAAATAACTTTTTTTAATAAAAAATTCAGTTAGTTTGGTTTTAAAAAGAGCTTATTTGACTGCTTATTTCAAGTTTTTTCAAATTATTAACATGATTTTTATGACTATTTTGCGCGTAAGTTGTCATACTTTTCTCCAACTTTTAACAAAAATGTAATTTAAATTCGAATAAAAATTAAATTATAAAAGTCCTTTGCATTGTTTTAGTAAAGTGTTTGCACTGCGTTTTCGTTCAAATCCTGCAAACAATCTAAACTCCCAAGTAAAATTTTAGAGAGAGGTGAAAAAAGTTGCAGAGTGAGTTAAAGAAGGGGACCACCCTGAATAACTTTTGATCTAATGATCGGATCTTCTAGATTTCTGAGAAATTATTCGACAGATTTCGCTCACAATTTGTATTTTGTCATGTTAATTTACATTCTTTAAAATGATGTAAAAAGTTATATACCTTAAAATTATAAATTTTTTAGACTTTTATTAAATAAATTAATAAATGATAAATATTTACTAAAATTTATTTTTTTAAATGAAATTATCTTTTTATGAAAGAATTTCATAACTGTATGCAAAAATTCAATTAGCTTAAGAAATTCTCCAAATATGGTGAAATACGTAAAAAGGTAAAATTATCATTGAAGTTACAAGTATCATTTAAAACATTCTCCTGGCCAAACTATGGGAACCATATTTCCCAGATTGCGGCTACCCCTTACATTTTGGGGGTCAAAAACCCAAATCCATTCAAAGTACGTTTTTATGTCATATTTCGTAACTTAAAATATCGTCTGTACTAATTATTTAGCATATTTGAAGTCACACTCTCTAACCATTGAGAATAAATCCTAAAACGTAAAGATCCGATCATTAGATCAAAAGTTAATCAGGGTAATCCGTTTTTTTTTTTTTGACGCACTGTGTACACATTGAGGTTGTCTAGAAGAAAATTAAACCCCATAGACTCCTTAATGATAATTAATATAATTAACAATGGAAGAAACGAAGATGAGTTTGCTCAACGAAGATCAGATAATAAATTGGTTGTTCATTGGTTCAACTTAATTTAAAAAAAAAAAATACTAATTGGGAAATTGCTCTCGTTTTTAAATACTCCGTTGTGATTTTTCATTTTCTGACTTTTTTTGCATGTTTTATCTTGCTTCTATACTTTTCATGAGATTATGACAGAATAATGAGAAGAAAAAAAAAAAAACAATTTTGTCTCAAAACACTGAAATTGAATTTGAACCATAGTTTCTCAGTAACATTTAAATGCATGTAAATCAAAATATAATGCATATTAATTAAATGAAATTCTTATAAATCAAAATTTTCACGGTATTGCCAGCATATTTTTAGAAATTCATACTATAATGTCTACAAAGCTAGACAAAAATACATAAATATCCAATAAGAGAACTCGTAGACCCCTAGTGTTTTACTAAAGTGTAAGAATAATTTAAAAAAAAACTTACTCCTCAATACCATGGGTTAAAATAAGAGAATAAAGGAAAAGGACGCAACTTCCACTGTTATCATCCATCAACTAAAGAAATAATTACATAATTATTACTACATTCTTTTTCTTAATTATTTATTTATTTTTAGCGTTGAAGATAGCCACGCCTCTTTAATATAGATCAAATAAGGTCAAAAGCTCTTCTGTAATGTTAGAAATAAAAGGTCAATGTAAGATATTGATGTAAAATTTACAGTCATGCTTGAATGTAACTTATATTATCTATAAAATCAAATAAAAAGTTTATTTTTTTAAGCTTTTCTGCTCTATATATTTCATAAATTAAAATAAAAAATAAATAAACTGCAAAAGAAAAAAAAATTAATTTTCATAGCTAATCAAAAATAACTTACACTCAGAGTACTTTCTTCAAATAATTATTTATTATTTAAATAGTTTTATAATGTAATTAAAATAAAGCCGTATACATTTTAAAAACACAGTTGTGATTATGTAAGTAAGTAGGAGCTTAATATGTAAAGTTTCTAAGAGATATTTTTAAGAAATGTAGATTTCTCCGGAAAAGATCATATTTTAAGTCAATTTTAAATATAAAACATTGACCTAATTTACCAAGTCCTTAAATTACGAAGATATCAGTAGATAATAAATGACAGTTGATGAGTTTTTTTTCCACAGACTATCACATAAATGAAAAAAGATTCCAAATTCATTCGGCAACTAAAAGTCGCAAACTATTTGCAACATGTAAAGAGTGGAGACAGCGAGCGTTAAGACGCCAACAGTTTAAAGAAGTGTTAGGGATTTCTAGATTTTACTTATTGGAAGATTGTGAAGAAAGAATAAAGGCAAGACGCTATTTTTATTTCCTCACATTAAAGGATGAGCAGCCGAACGGTCTGTGCAGGGGGCAGGGAACTGTCCTTTCATCAGAATGGTCCTGAGTTCGAATCCCGGGCAGGGCATTGATGTTTCTTTCTCTCTGTGTGTGTTCTATGTCCTTTCTCCTTTGTGTGTGATTGTGACCCGTCCTATAAATGGGATGTAGTGGTGTGAATGGCGTGGCAGAAGTCGAAATCCTGGCCATAGATGGCGCCACTGAAAAACAGGAGCAATCGCGCTCCCACTGTCTAAACAGGCATACGATAAAAAAAGGAAGAGCAATACATAAACTTTTGAACTAATTTCTCAAATACCACAACATGTCACATAGAACCTTTATTCACTCGGCTTTTCATTTATCAACTTTATTTTTACAATTTAAAAATTCAAACTTAGCTGTAGTTAGTGTTTAGTTACGCTATTTTCTCACTTTCTCCTCCCTCTGTTATTATGGTAACCACAAATTTCGTTTTCTCCCTTTGTCAATAAGCTACTACAGTTGCGAGTTATAGATACTCCTTAACTGCCGTGTGAATAAAAAGAGTATAGTTCTTGCTTGTCACATCATTACCAAGGAGACGAAGGTAAAAAATGTGACATTGAGATGCCAATTTTAATTACAAGGAGTATATTATTATTGTTCCCACCTTTTGAAAAATATCACAACTATAAAACGATTATTTACCTCATTTGCGTTCAATAAATAGTGATGGAGAAGACAGGACCTACAATTGAAATGCTTCAGATACACCTAAAAACAAAATGTTTATTCGAAAATTTCTTTATACCTTATTTAAAAATAGAAGAATTTATAATGATTTTTGACTTCGACTATGAATTGTTTTGCATTATATACTTGCTTATGATGTACCGTACGTGTCATCTTCTCATGTTGTTTAAGTTACTAAATCTTAATGTATAAATTAAAATTTAAGTTAAATTAGCTATAAATATTTAAAAATAGTTCTTACGTATTCAAGAATTCCATCTTTTGATACAATTTTTTCGTCTAATACTATCTTGTCTTTTCTTCTAAAAATTAAATTATATCAGTTACATTCTTATTTCTTATAACTTTAATATTTTTTATATTTTGTAACAGTTGTTGAACAGCCGATCCAATTATTTGAGTTTACGACTACTAATGTTCAACTCCGTAGCCCTGTAATCCTGTAATTTGGAACCCAATCCAGGAGACAAGGGAACTCCTGGATCAAGTATTAGGAGAAATTTTGCCTTCGTGGAGGACTTTTTGATGGAACTAACCCGCATTTGTGTTGCTTGAAGAGGAAAGCCACGAAAATATTTCACGGTTAGCCTAACGGCAAGGAGATTTTAACCCATGATCCGCCTACCACTGAGGATATTTTACGACAGCACTGTGGTCGGTGCAAGCCGGATGCGGAATTCGTATCGATCAGCCATCGCTGGGATTCAAACCTGGTTAACCTCATTGGAAGGCGAACAACGCTCTATCGCCTGAGCAACACGACTCTAATAACTTTAATATTTTATTTTAAACCCGTCATTGAGCAGCCGATCCAATTTTTGGTTTTACGATTACTAATGTTCAACACCGTAGCCTTGCAAGTTTGAACCCAATCCAGAAGACAAGGAAACTCCTGGATCAGTACCCCCAGAAGTATTGATTTGTTATGGGAACATGGGGGACCTTACGACTCGATAGATTTAACGTGCATCAGTCACCATTTAATACACGGGGAGTTTTCAGCCTGCGGGGATCGAACCCACGAACTCTTGGACATGGGCCCAGCGCCCTACCGACCAGGCTATCCCGAATTTAATAATAACTTTAATGGTAAGGAACATACAGATTTATTCAAACGAATTGAAATATTTTTGCATGCAATTATAAAACTAACTTAGCCGCAGAAAATTTCAAGCATAACATAAATTATTTGTTATTTAATTTAATAATAATAAAACAATAATTTGAATTGGTATATATTTAAACAGAAAAACATCATTTAATTCATTAAATCAAGATACTTGGCATGTTTGGGGTACATAAAGAGAAAGGACAAAAATAAAGGTCCGAAAAAAAGTTTTAAGTTGGAAACCACAAGGTTTTGAGGAGGACCTATTATTGGTTAGATGGCGTAACTAAACATTTAATCACAATAAAAAGTTCAGACTGGAAATTCAAGGCTAAGAGGAAGAATGTTTGGAATAATATTGCTCAGCAAGGCTAGGCTTCCTGCATGTTGCAGGGTTGTAAGAGAAAGAAAGAAGAATAAGGTATGCCTACATATTTTTACATCTTCTTAAACATTATAGTTTTAAATAACAAAATACAAAGTTAGGATTAAATGGGTTGAATAGTTTTCAATAAAAGAAAAAAAAAGATATTTTTAACTATACTAATATTATTTGATTGATTTCTATCACATTGTAATTTTTTTTCAATTAAAAATACATAGTTTAAAATGAAATAAAATCTTAAACAATTCAAAAAAATGGCAATATAATTAATTAAATAGTAAAAAAGTATAAGCAGTTATAAAAGCTTGGCTTTTGTATGAATTTATTTTTTTTTTGATTTATAATTGTAAGTGAAAATATTTTGATTTCTTTAAAACATATTTTAAACTAGATGTATTACAAAATACTCGTAGGAAATTTTTATTTATTTATTTTTCTTTTTTGTATTGTTTGGTGTTAGAAACACCAAATATGAGGACAACTACTTTACATCAAAAGAAGTGTAATGGAACATTCCTGGTGTTTCACTGCATCAAAAATTGGTGTGATTACACTGACTAAATTCCGTGGTTTAATCAGGGTGTACTATAAGTCAGGGTAACTGACTCGATGTCAAAAGAGAGATCTGCATTTTTATTATTTTTTTTATTTTCATAATTTATTAGATAAAAATGGAAAATGTGTAGTACATTGTATTAATTCAGTAAAAACTATTCAAAGTGATTTTATAATCGCGATTATTACTACTATTCATTATAGTTAACATGGAGTTCTGAAAATATTGAAAATAATGAAAATATTTCAGATTTTACTTCAGTCCAAGTATAAAGTATATACTTGGTATAGTTTAAGTATAGTTCAATTCAAACAAAAAAGTTTTTTGACGTATTTTCTTATTATCCCTGCTTTTAAAACTAATAATGTAAAATTACTACAAAAATTGCCTTTTTTTTTAAAAAAAATTAAATAGCGTTAAAAAAGTTTCAGTTTAAAATATTTTAGCAAAAAGGTTTTGCAGAAAAGTAAAAGTATAAATTTTTTCAAAAGTTAAAAAAAAATTATGAAGAGAGATTAAAAAATAGAAATAAAACCTTCAATAAATGCAGAGAAAAAAAGTCTTAGACAAAAAGAGAATTGAGTTGTTTTTGGTGTCAAAAAACTTATTTTATGCTTAAAATATGAAAATACATTATAATTATGGAGTTTATTTAATTGTTTTCTGAAGAATTATTCTACCGATTTCACAGGTAACAATTTTAAGGTCAAGAAATTTTTACACAGACTTAATTAAGGTAACTTTGAGTGACAAATTCCAAAATTTCTTTCTACTATCGTTTAATGTAACAATTAAAAATAATAAATAGTTATGAAATTAGTTTTTTACATGGAATTATCGCTAAATAAACAAGTTTTACAATTGTATGAAAAAAATTTTCGATTCGCTTACAAAATTTTCCGAATTATGACTAAACACGCAAAAAGTGAAGTTAGCATAATAAGCCAAAATTTTTGATTGCTCTCCTTCCCTAAATATTGGATCCATATTTTTTAGTTCGTGGTTACTTTTCATATTTAATGGGTCAAAAATCCAAATTTGTCGAAAAAAGTGCATGCTTATTCGAAGAAACGACGTTTTTGTGTCTGATTTCGTTTTTTAAAATATCATCAATAATCAACCATTAAGATTGAGTTAAAGTACGTGATAATCCTTTCATTAAATTAAAAGTTATTAAAGTATTCGGGCCTCTTTTTCGCACTATACAACAAGCTTGCCTCGTGATCCCTCCCCCTTTTATTTCTTCTTTTCAGTGTGCGGGCTGCCTATCCTATAAAGCTATCGTTTTCTAACCTCGCCAAAACCCTGTAAAACCGTTTCTCCTTACTAACTTAAGTCATGAGGGCAAACTACGATTTACTCTTTCACGAGGTTATAATCCCTCTTTTCTTACAATTTAAACTGACTAGAATTAACTATTTGTTTTTTTTTCTTCCCCTCAGTACTTTTCGGTTAGCCGGAATCAAGGAAATTTTACTCTTTTTTTAAAATTATTTTTTAACTTATTATTTTTATTTTACTTATTTTTTTTATTTAATTTCATTTTTATTTGTTTAAAAATAATATTTNTTTTTTTTTTTTTTTTTTTTTTTTTTTTTTTTTTTTTTTTTTGCGGAGGTCTTAATTCTTTGGCGATTATTCGCTTGCAACTGGCTAACTAAAAAATACCTATTTTTCAATAAATTGCTATTTTTTTTTAATTGATATATGAATAGATCTTAAGGCTATTCCTATAATTCTGAGAAATTTAAGATTAAATATGCAGCTTTTTTGAAATTTTATCACTCAGAAATTATTTGACCTACCGCGTTTAAATGTTGTAGTTTGTCATTTAAAATTACTTCGTTTAAAATGGGAATAAGACTTTGTATACTCAACCAATTCAAAAACTTTTTCAATTATCTATATGAATAAAGCAGAAATCTTACACAGATGTGTTTGCATGTATCTTATACAAATACGCAGTTCTGAAGATATCCGCACTATATTTGGTGCACAGTTTCCGCAAAATATAAAACGGACCACCCTTAATGACTTTTGATCTAATGATCAGATCTTCATGTTCTAGGACTCCCTCCTGAGGATTCAAAGGGGTAACCTCAAATAGGATAATTAGTTAATTTTAAGTTTTGAAATCAGAAACAAAAATGCACTTTCTCTAAATAAACATATTTTTGTTTCAACAGATTAATTTTTCAACGTATATATGTTCGATGTACATATGTACTCGCTTTGATAACCGATCAACACACTACATCCCATATAAAAGAATTTTCTATAGGATTTTTAAAGCTTTTATTATAATATGAGTCATTTACTTTATTTATGTTTGGCTTTCTATGTAGATTAGCATGCGAAAGATGAACAATAATAATTCTAAGTGACACTGGTTAATTAGGATTCCGAAAGATTTAATGAACTCACACGTTTATTTTGCTATATAAACGTGTTTCTAAATTTAAATAATTTAATATTCATAGCAAAAATAATAAAATTGAAATAATTTACAAAAAGCCGATTCATTGGAAACATTATGATTGAAGTTAATTTTTTCAATCAGGGTTGAGAAATACATAGAATATATATTTATAAATGTAAATAAGAAAAATGAATTTTAGTAAACTAAACTTCGGAATAGTTTTTCACTTAACCTTAACTAAAATTAGCTACTTACTTAGGGCTTTGCTAAAGTGTCCGTCAAAAACTTATTACAGCTTATATATTAGACTATTAGGTAGTTATTATCCCAGATCTTAATACCGAAATTAACCGTCACCAGTGTCAATAGTTCTTTTGCGGCTTTTTACAACTTCCTGAAACTAAATTACCATGAGATAATATTTTTTCGTTATTCAAGTGAGTGTTCAAAATTGTTTAACTATTTTTTATGCTTTCAAATAATTAACTGAAAATTCTCAGTTCATTTAATTTCGTTTTAGATCAATTCCTTATACTTAATTCCGATATTGCGTTTATAAGTGAAAATAAGAAAGCAATGAAACTGAAGACGTGACAACTAAAAATAAAATTTAATTTCTATAATATTTTAAAGATAACTGAAAAATAAGATTCGAAAAGAAATGAATTATATGAAACTGCATTCTCATTGGATTTAATATTTGTGGTATAAATTTTTTTCCATCTATTTATTATTTCCCATTCATATGCAGGCTTATGTGCAGATTAAGAATTGCAATTTATAAGCCCTAAAGCACATCTAGAGTGGATTAGAACTGGTTTCAAACACGCTATAGAGCGTCTTTCCGAACGACATGTACATTATTTCCCCTCTTTGTAAAAGAATGTATTCATGAATTTTTAATTGTTAAAAATTAGTCAACTTACAAAGCTACGAGGGCATTTCCTTTTCTTCCAGCATTCCACAAAATTTTGGTCAGAGCATAAGACAGAGCTATTCTCTTTTCAGATAATGTGGGCCTTAATCTTTAAAAAAATTAAATTAAGGGTTATTGAAATATGTATAATTGTAAAACTTTTACACTTAGATTAAATATTACAAACGATATCTATATGCATAAATAAGAACGCATATCAATTTAAATTTGTAGAGGAGTGAGGTTGAGATGCTCGCTTGCTGCCGGCTGGACTCAAACTATATACCTTCGATGCTCTAATAACTATGAAAAATGTACAGTGCGCAAAAAAGGAAAGGAAAAAAGAAACGGATTATCCTGAATAATTTTTGATCTAATGATCGGTTGTTCACGTTTTAGAACGTAATCTTATTAGTTCGAGAGGATGACATCACTTATGCTGCTTAATTTGTGCAAACCAAATTTTAAATAACCCTCAAAGTATAAAAGGTAGTCGCAATCTGGGAAATATAGTCCCAATAGTTTGGTCAGGAGAGCGATCGAAAGTTTGGACCCCTTAATCTTAATTTCATTTTTTGCTTATTTCGCCATACCATTTTAAGCAAATTGAAACATTTTTTGAGCGCAAATATAAAATTAGTTTTTCCAATGATAATCTAGGAAAAAATAACTTTTAGTAATTATTTATAATTTTATTTAATAACAGTCGAAAAAATTTTGAATTGTGAGGTAAGCAACTTTTTACATCATTTTAAAGTATGTAAATATGCATGGCAAAATTCAAAATTTCAGTGAAATCGATCGAATAATTTCTGGGAAGTCGTGCATATAAAATTCAATTTCTCAGGAAATATTCAACAATTTTGCTCAAATTTCGGATTTTGCCGCGTCAAATTAAATACTTCAAAATTATGTAAAAAATGATCTAGATAATAATTATATAGATAATAATAAGAATGAGTCCTTGTACGTGAAGATCCGATCATTAGATCAAAAGTTATTCAAGGTGGTCCTTTTTTGCACTCAGTGCAACTTTTTTCAACTCTCTATAACATTTCTAAAATTTATCGCAAGAGTCTAAAATTATTACAGGAGAAAAAAGTTCGATCAAAAAAGTAAGATATTTAAAATTCGATTTCTCAGGAACTATTCGACCGATTTTGCTAAAATTTTGCATTTTGCCTTCTAAAATTATATTTTTTAAAATGATGCAAAAATTTGCATACCTTGTAATTCAACATTTTTTCTACCACTATTAAATAAAATAATAAAAAAAAAATATTTACTAAAATTTATTTTTTGCATGGAATTATCTTTGGATAAGTGAATTTAATAATTGCGTGCAAATTTAGCGAAATACGCAAAAAGTAAAAGTCCAATTTTTGGGACGCTTTCCTGACCAAACTATTCAGACCATATTCCCCAGATCGCTGCTACCCCCTATATTTTAGGTGTCAAAAACCTGAATCCCTTAAAAAAAGATATGTTTATTCTGAGTAAGTACGTTTTTGTGACAGATTTTTTAACTTAAAATATCGTTTGCACTTATTAATTAGCGTATTTGAGGTCAACTTTTGCGCCATCAAGATTGAGCCCTAGGACGTGAAGATCTGATCATTAGATAAAAAGTTGTTCATTTATTATTGTTATTATTTTTTCTTTTTTTGCGTACTGTACACCCTCGACGAGGGGGAACTTAGAAAGCTTTATATAACTACCATAGTATATTTATTAAAAATTAACAAACCGTTAACGCCATTTTTATCCGAAGGTAGTAGATCAAAGTGTTAGTGACAATAATTACAAAGCAAAGCTTGAACAGGTTCAATATTCTAAGTAGTTTGATTTATTTAGAATAGAATTTAAGCATTAAACATTTAGTATTAACACCCGCATGTTATTTGCACATTTAATAGATTTGTAATATACCTCAGTTCATAAATTGAACTAAATAAATATCAGAAACATTAATAAATAAATTGAATGAGTTGCTATACTTCGAGTGCTGTTCCTTAGTTTAGCTGTTTACTTGCTTAAACATGGATTATTTTTATGAGATCATTTTATATTTGACGCCAAAGCATCCTAAATATAAAGAAAGTCTGAAATATAACAGTATTTAAATGACTGATTTGAAGGACCTAAAATAAGTACGACTCTTAAAAAATTAATAAGATTAAAAATAAAATGTAAATATTAACTTGGTAGTTTCCTTTTTACCCTACAAATACCACCTATTTCTGATATACATCCCGCTTTACAGAGTTGTGATTTGATAGATTTTGATAGTGTGCTTTTCAGATCTTAAATATTAATTTGTGATCGTCAATATGTGTACTTTTTGTCTTCATTTTTTACAAGAATTTTAAATATATATATATTATGGGAAATGATTACGGATCACCTTGCATGTACTTACGCTCCTGAGACCAGTGAACTCTTATGGTCACCAAATAAAAATTCTTTTAAAACATAAGCTTGAACAGCAGCTAGAACTCCACAAGGACCACCCTAAAATATGGACAAATAAGAACTGTTTATTAAAGTAGAATAGTTTTTCATTCCAACAATTATTAATCAAGGAATGAAATTAAAGTAATATCTGGAAAAAAATTCAACGGCTAGTTTAAAAGCTAAAGAATGCCTTCTGAAATATTTTATTTTATTTTATTTTATTTTATTTTATTTTATTTTATAACCCTCGTTAAACAGCCGACCCAATTTTTGGGTTTGTGACTACTAATGTTCAAGTCCGTAGGTTTGTAATTTTGAACCCAATCCAGAAGACAAGAGAACTCCTGGATCAAGCACTGGGAGAAATTTGCCTTCGTGGAGGACTTTTTGATGGAACTAACCCGCATTTGCATTACATGGAGAGAACCTCCCACGGTTAACCTGACGGCAAGGGACTCTAACCCATGATCCGTCTACCACTTAGGATATTTCACATCAGCACTGTGGTCGGTGCAAGCCGGATGCGGAATTCGTATCGACCAGCCATCGCCGGAATCGAATCCCGGTTCACCTCATTGGAAGGAGAACTCTCTATCCCCTAGCTACAGCTATAAAGTGGTGTCTAGGTATAACAAAGTAGTTGCGCTCTAAGATATTTGATATAACAAGATGAGACTGCTTGTAACGCCATTTGCGTAGAAAGCGGTGAGGTGTTATTTTACCGAAAATGCTACGAGATAGGGTAGAAAGTGTGTTACGCAGTTGTATTGCCTCATCTATTCGGTACGAATGCTAACTTTGAGAAATGCTTACTATACCGGGGGAAAATTTTGATCATAAATTCTGTCTCACTCCCATAACTAATTTCAAATTTAAATTATAGAAAGAGTCAGTTCAGGCAAGGCTAGAATAAGCCAGGAAGTTAAGCCATAAAATTTCAAAATATCAAAACGTATATTTCTCCATCGCGCTATCGTCTCTTAATTTGTTTTCAATTTGATATTTTAAAAATTTCTTTTAAGTATTTGAGACTTAATGGATTTATTTAGGTTTGCCTGAAAACACCTTTTATTCACTTTAAATTCTAAATCAGTTGTAGAGACGAAGGAGAATTTACGATTAAAATTTTTTTAAATGGTATAACGTCTTCTTAAAATTCCCATTTATTTCGTAATTTTCAACAGTGAAATGACGAAACCATCTTAGGAAAAAAAAGAACTAGTTCTTACAATGTATTTTCGATATTCAAACGTATTTTAAACTTTGTAAAAATAATCTTGCATAACTAGTTGTTTTTCAAAGATTGTTCTGTTACGTCATGGAGTAATAAATGAAGAAATAATCATGAAGAAATAACTGCGCATTTTAAACATTCTTTTTTAGCATTCAGGTTCAGAAAGGTGATGAACAGGTGATGCTTTATATCAGTAGTCCCCAAACTACGTAAGAGAACATTCCAGAACACAACTCAGATAGCGATTGATATTTTTAAAGGTGAATTAATACTAGGAATTTATATTTTTACGCAGAATTTTCTTGATAACTGAATTATTTTTATAGTGAACGCATAATGGGCGGTAAATGTGAAACAATTGGTGAGCGCTGTGGTTCCTGCATAGTATTGAGATCCATTGTTCTTCAACTTTATATTTTACTTTTACTCCCTATCAGGTACAGTATTCGGAATAAAGAAAGATTTTGTATATAGATTAGAGAGATTATGCATAGCGTTTATCTTAAATTAGACTTATTTTCTTCCCCTTTGCCAAGTGTGATTTGTTAAGAAATTTTCGAGCATGTACTGCGAAGATCAAATAACGTTATCATTAGAGTAATGGGTAACCGTAACGCTTTGCGTTACAGTTAAAATTTTTCACTAAGTGTTTCTGTAAGCAATCTTCGCTTGTAGTCCACAGCTATTTTAATACATCTAGAAAAATCCTTTATAATTACATAGCTAAGATTGCTCAAAAATTCAGACCGTTTATACAGAGTTTAGTAACCACCCTGTAAATTATTTATAGCAATTCATTGGAGTATTTATGTAATTTCATTTTTCAAAGAAATGTAAGTAGATGGATCAAATATAAATTAGATTTTTTTAATAATAGCAGACGATTTTCATTCTCATAGTTCTTGGCAACAATAAAACTTTATCTAAAGTCTAAAAAATTGTTTGGTAATGTTTAGTTCTTAGTCAGTTCCTTTTTTTAGTAACTTCATTATCATAAGTTAGCACAACGTTCCTAACGAAGTTTCACAACACATAGTGATTAAATTTTTACCAAAAGAAAATGTCAAACCTGTTGAAATTTTGAGCAGATTACAAGCACAGTTCGGTAATGATACCCTGTATAGGGCTCAAGTTTACAAATGGCACTCGTTATTAAGCAAGGCATGAAGGAATCGAAAACTTGCTTCATACTCTACGACCAAGAACGAGTCTGACAAAGAAAATTGACCAAACTCGTGACCTTATTTACAATGACTGACGAAGGAAAGTTCGAGTAATTAGTGCTATAACAGAGATGAGTTATGGAAGTATGCAAATTTGGTACATCGTAAAATCTCGGCAAAATGGGTGCCTAGAATTTTGAACACAAATCAATAGGATGCAAGAAAATTTATTTGTCAAAAGTCGCATAAAGCCACAGTAACACAACAAAAGTTACAGACATTACACTGGAAAACAGTTGAACATCCTCTATATAGCCTGGACTTGGAACCTTCAGACCACTATTTGTTTGGAACTCTTAAAGAACCCTTGGGAGGGGAAGGAGATTTTCATCCAATGCAGAGGTAGAAGATTGAACGCAACCTGTTCACTACACGGCCTACTTCTTTCTGTGCCGCCGGGATTGTAAAAAACCCTCCAAAACGTTGGAAAAATTGAAAATGAAGTTCACGAAAAGTATGTAGAAAACTGCATTTTTATATTTCTTGAAAGTAAAATTTTAATATTTAGTTATTAAAAAAGTCTCATTTATATTTGATCCATCCTCGTAAATCAACTAAAAATGAATTGTTTACCCTTTTCTGAATAATTCCATATGGAAATGGTTTCGTTCTTCTAAAACGGAAACTTTGCTCAGACCATTCCTTTCCAAAAGTTCGCTGTAAGTCCCCAAATAATAAAGTTCTTAATGACTGAAATAAAAATAAATATGAAAGGCAGTTCATTTCAAGAGCGAATATAAGGTTACTCTAATAAAATAGAGGAATTATGTTCAGTACACAAAATAAAAAATAGAACACCTTAATAACTTCTGATTTAGTGATTGAATTTTCATGTACTACGATACAATCTGAATAATTCGAGGAACTAACTTTAAATATGCTGAAATATTTTTGGAGATCATACTTCAAAATACGAATTCAGTCACAAAAGCGTTCTTCCTCTGGATAAATATTTTTTCAACAGACTTGGATTCTTAATTCTCAAAATATGTGGAGTAGCCGTAATTTGAAAATATGGTCCCAAACCTTTAGGCAGGACAGCAATCGAAAGTCTGTGACCATAACTTTGATTTCACTTTTTGCGTATTTTACCATACATTCGGAGCTGTTATCGAATAGTTTTGCGACACAATTTCGGGACTCATTTATTCAAAGAAAATTCTACGTAAAAAGAAGAAAAAAATTTCTTCCAATTATTTAGTAATTTTTATAATTTATTTTAGTGATCAAAAAGAATTTTGAGTTTTATGTACGTAATTTTTTGTTATTAGTGTTTTTACAAGTGCTTTTTATTATACAACGTCGGAATGGATGTCCGACCACATAATCGAGTGCAAAAGATCTGCGGTATAACATTCTCACTGAAGATAAGCTTGACCGAAGGCGCTTCTATGAAAGAAGGTCAACATTTAATAATTTTTAAAAGAGTATATGCAATGCTGATTTGATTCACGAAATTTAGGTAGATCAATGTTAAAAGATCAATGAAAATTTGAACAAAAGAATACGCATGTGCCAGCAAAATCTTAATGGCTATTCATCGATATTCCTTCTATGCATAACCCTATAAATGAATAATAAAAAAATTCAATGTGAAAACCCTAAATGTACTTTAAGTCTATAACGTCAATATTCCGTAATGCCTATAATTCAAACCTATAATGTACAGTAGAAATATATAATAAAAATATATAATAAAAATTANCTAAGTCCTCCATTGGTAAAAATTTTTTTATTTGCAATTTAAAATAGTGAAAATTAAATAAAACTAAAATGGGTAGACTCGCCCCTGGATGGGTAGACTCGCCTCGGTTTACGGTACGCATGTGCCAGCAAAATCTCAATGGCTATTCATCGATATTCTTTCTATGCATAACCCTATAAATGTATAATAAAAAATTCAATGTGAAAACCTTAAATGTACTATAAGTCTATAACGTCAATATTCCTTAATGCCTATAATTCAAACCTATAATGTACAGTAGAAATATATAATAAAAATATATAATAAAAATATATAATAAAAGTATATAATAAAAATATATAATAAAAATATATAATAAAAATATATAATAAAAATATATAAGAAAAATATATAATAAAAATTATGTATTATAAAAAGTAACGTATAATAAAAAATTTACACTTTTTAACACTAGATTGCCCAAGAAAGTCATTTTGATTGCCTCTTAACTGCTTTTTCATTTGCAAAAAATGTGCAAACAATAATGCTTAAATTATCTTTTTTTCCAAGTGAAATAAATTTTTTTAGCTGTTAATATTCACAAATAACTTGTTATATAACTGTAAATACTATAAAAAATATTAAAAATTAATTGCACATTAGTTATTTTTTCACAATGCTTTTGGGCAATATAGGTATATACGAAGTTTCAGTCTTTCTAGTGTAAATTAAAATTCTGCTTTCTGTATCAAAATTATTTCTTGTGTGTCAGATTGGTGATTTTTGTGTTTAGTATAGTAAAATGACTCAAAATAACAAAAAGAATAAAAAAAAATGAGATACAGTTGAGCAAAATGTCTTACGCAAGCTTCATCTACAGTAATTGGCCTTTCCGGTCTCATAGCGGCATCCAAACCATCACAATGCATATTCCTGTCATAGCCATTTGATTCGATCCACGTCATGTGATCAAGGAGATTCATCTCATAAAACTTTAGTATACCTACAAAACTGAAATTAATTGTTTTCAAACACAGGTATAATTTTCTAAAATCTAATTCTTTTTCAAAATATCCTTCAAAGTTGGAAATTGCTGAATTAACAAAAGATTTAATTGCTCTGAATGTATTGCAGAGGCCGCAATCGGTCAAATTGGTCTTCTTTCTATTTAAAATAAAGTCGCTTAGAACAGAGTCGTTTTCGAACATTAGCACAACCATATTCTTTAATTTCGCTGAAAGAATAAATAAGTAAAATGCCATATTGGCCAAATTGATGAAACTTCATTCTCTATAGAGTAGAGACTACTTCTTCTTCTTCATAAGCGCAACAGCCTTTCACAGGCCAAGGCTGACTCGCAGATTTTCCTCCCTCTGGCCCTGTCCGGTGCGACGGTCCGCCATCTGTTGACTCCTAATAGCTTGAGGTCCTTTTCAACGTCGTCTATCCATCTTGAAGGTGGTCGTCCCCTACGTCTCGTCCCGTAGAGACTACTACCATAGACTTATTATAGAGAGTCTTAGAGAGATAGATCAGCTATTAGGTCAAGTGAGAGTTTTTGTTTCGTCACGTGATTAAATTTAAGATTATCTGATTTGTGCTTGTCAAGATTGTTAACTAGAGTTTCTAAACCAAATTTTTGACTTTTTTTAAGTGTTTTAATTACTGAGGAATTTGATGCTTTGTTTCAAAACAATTATTACTTCATTACATTATGCCTCTGAATTTTATGCTTTCTGTTACATTATTCCTTGATGTCCTCGGCAAACATGATGATTTCTGCCATAACAATTCCGATAAAATTATGAGTCTTATAATTTTAATGTTTTAAAATATTCATAGTGTAATTTTAACGTTTAAAATATCAGAAGAAAAAAAAATATCCTTGATAGCACAGTGATTAAGGAACAGGGATGTTATTGTAAAGGATTGAGGTTCGATCCTCATTGGTGGCTTAAAATTCACTCAGCTTCAGATCTATGGGTAACAGCTTGTCTGGGGTTATTGGTGAACTTGTGCATAAGGGGAGAGTTTATCGACTATGTCAACCTTCATCTATCAAAGGGTACCTCAAGACAGAATCAAGTTAACAAGTCTTATATACTAGTGAATTGGTATTTTAAATATTTGCAATGGTAGTTACGCCACATACTCAATACTGACCACATTATCCCTATCATGCCGTAGCTGGTCACGGAATTGTGGTACCATATAACCCATGACTCCAGAGGCCCACAAAGAGATGTTGCGGTAATGCTTTACTTAAAATTTCAAAAAAATTATTTTTTAATTTAGAAACCTACTGTAAAAGAAATGAACTTTTCACGCCATAACTTATAATTGATACTGATTCGCAAAGATTTCATCACATAAATGCTTATTAAATTATGTAATGCATGCAAATCAATACAAAATAAAACTAATAAATAAAACAATGATCATGTGGAACTTACTGTAAAAGAAAAGAAGTTTACAACTTGTAAGAAACATTAAAATTGGACTTCATTAAATAATAACAATAATATACTGTCAAGTATTCAATAAATGAAATTCTACCTATAATTGAATGAATTAAAAGTAATTCAAATGATAATACTTACAGAAAATATATATACAAAAATATACGAATAAAATAAAACCTTCTAAAAAATTCGGACGATGTTATTTCCCTACATTTAATGATTAGAATAAAAGTAAAAGTAAAATAGTTTTTTTTTCAATGTAATAAAAGTCTTTTAAGAATTATGTGCTTCATTAATTTGTATAAAATGTAAATAAATATAAATTAAAGTGTTACTATAGCAACTAATAAGGTTTAGTTGTAAGAAGTTGCTCATATCCTAAAATCAAAAAAGCCTTTAAATAAAAAGAAACTGAAAATCAAAAATTTTATTAAGAGGAATAATTAAATAGAAAAAAATTAAAAAATAAAAAGTTTCCCACTAAGTTGCAAAAAAGGAATGTAAGTAAATATACGCTGCAATTGAGCTTTTTCAGTTTTATCACCGTGATTATAAGTTCAGTGATGGAAACAGTGAGCGAAAAGTCTCTAGGATTGTTCCATTTTATTTCATAGCGTTTTCATAGGGACAAAATAATTGTTTAAGTTTTATTTCTTCCTTTAAAAAAAAAAAAAAAACTATTATTTTTTCAAAAATTNTATATATATATATATATATATATATTGGTTTATTTTCAAATCGCCTAACATAAAAGGGACCAGCGATAGTAAACTATTACCAGTACTTTTTGGCCGAGACAGCCTGGTTGGTAGGTCGTTAGGCCCGCGTCCAAAAGGTCGCGAGTTCGATCACCACCAGTAAAGATTCCTCGTGAGCAAAATGGTGACTGGTGCAATCTAAAACTCTCAGGGTCACAAAGTACTCTCAGTTCCCATGACAAACCAGTACCTTTGGGGGGGGGCACTAGATCGAGAATTGATCATGCTCTGTTCAAGTCGAAATTGCGATCTGCGGATGGATGGTGCGTGAGTGTGTCCTCCCTATAAAACGGGCTGTGACGTACGTGTGTGGCAGAAGTCGAATTCTTCGCCAAAAATGGCGACATTGGAAAACAGGAAGAAGAGCAGTATTTTATTTATTTTTTAGGTACATAAAATTAAATAAAATAAAAATAGCAAAAAGATTAAATAAAATAAAAAGAAGGAAGAAATATGAAAAACCTAAAAAAAATAATTGAATTTTTCTCTCAGCTAACCATATAAATAAACAGCATTAATATTTATTTGTAGCTTACTTTATGATATTTTTAAGCTTGTTTCAGGTTCATTTTAATTTTATTTTTCTCATTTTTCAGCATTTCCAGTTTTATATGTTTTTATAATTGCTTGTCCTTAGTGCCCCTTTCAGTTCCATATCCGGTCAGGAGGAAGCACTTAATCCCTCAATTGATATAATTTTCTTTTTTGAGAAAAATAAAATATACTAATATTTCGTTTTTTTTTTTAAATGTGTGATTATACAACAGCATTTTAAAAATAAAAAAGTATAATGCGTGTATAACGTTTGCATCTCTTTTTTATTTTTTGCTATTTTTTATGTTAAAATAAGTACCTCGTTCTACTCCGTGTTCCCCTATGAATAGAAATTATTTTACACATTCAAAGATTTCAGTGCTTGAACTTTTTCTCCAATGATAAAGGCTTTCAAGTAGACACGTTTATTAAATTTCTATTGAAACGAAACCAAGTTTAAATGTTCAAAAACATTGGGTGGGATAAAAATTGGTCGCAACTGTAGATCAAGACTTGATTAATCAAAATTACAATTCACTTAATATATATTAAAAAAAATACATCGTAGATTGTAAAAAACAGTGTACATTTGTGCGTTGCATGTTTGTGCATGTATAGTTGTGCATTATGAAATAAATAATCAATTTTACTTCAAATAATTAAGCAGCAAATAATCAAGCAAACTTCTTCAAAACTTTTTTTTTTAATTTCACTTTAAAAACGAATTTTTATTTTGATTATTTATTTTAAAATAACATAAAATAAAATTTTTATTTCGTAAAAAAGTGAATATTTTTTTAAAATTTATTTCAATTACCAAGGAAAACCAGGAATTATTAAGGGAACATTTAAAAATTCGTCTTATTAGTTTTCGTAATTAAATTTAGAATAAATATTTAAATTATTTGTTTTCATAAAAAAATAAGAACAAAATATTCGGTTGTTCCTTAAGCAGTAAAGTAACATTAACAATGCTTTTTAACAACTTTTTTTTCCAATTTTTTGCCTTGTTTGTACACGTCTTATCAGAGATTTGAGTATGACCAGTAATAGTTGTACCGGGCTTCTCTAATCGTATTACCTGACTAGCTGAATTCTTTAATCGCTGTAAGATGGCGCATTCTCATTTACCTAATGAAATATTGCAATAAGAGAAAAATTGTGAGGGTACTACTATGTACAAAAATAAGCAGCTGAAAGCGTCAAGTTAGGTTTATTGAAAAATCAACCTGTAAAGTGAATAATTACCGCATGAATTAATATTTATCTAATTGTCGGCGTTGCTTAATATTTCTTTCTTTGTAATAAAAAGCATGTTTAGCAATTTTTTTATTTTCATTGTTTTATTTTTGCTAGTTCTTGGTTTTTCAAATTGCAAAAAATCTGCCCCGAATAACAAGCCAGATTGGGCGAAGAAAGATGTTAGAGACTTTTCAGACGCAGATTTAGAACGCCTCCTTGATCAGTGGGATGTAAGATATATTTCAGTATCCGATATTTAAATAAAGCATTGATTTGAAGCATAGAATGATTAGAGGTGACATAAATTACTGTGGACCCAATATGAATTAATTTATTGTATAGAACTGAATCTGAAATTTTTTATTGTATCTGCATTTATATGTTTTTATATACTGTTATAATCATAACCTTCTGCTAATGCTTTTTATCCTTTTACAAAATATTGGGGGAATATTTCTGTATGCGTATCAGTTTAAACATACTACCTTCAGGAATGAGATTCTTTCGTGGATTTCCGCTTTTTTTCAGATTTTTCCCACCAATTTACGCAGAATTTTTTTTTCTGCTCATTATTTTATGAGGAATTAAATTTTCCGCGGAGCGAAAGTATTGAAGTTCTCATTCCTCCCTCTGATATTTCTCTATAAGTCATTTCCTTGGGATACAACTGGTTGACCTTTACAGAGATGAAATTTTTCTGCTTTTGTCTCTTGAATTTCAGCTATTTTATCAAAAACTCCGATTCTCTCAAAGTTTCTGGTTTTTTGTTGTTGTTGAAAATTCAGTTGTTGAAATAAAATAATTATATTTATTTCCGATTTTCAAAGATAAACGGGAATTTCAAACTATGTCGTAGCTTCTAAACCTTCCGCATATTTACTTATTTTAGCTATTTTCTCTGCTTTTCTGCACAGAAAATAAGATTTTCCGTATTTTTATCCGTCCTCTGCAGTGTTTTCACTACAGCGCGAGAACGCGAGAATCTCGCATATTTTTTTCTTTTCTCGCATTAAAAAATTATTACTGCGAGAAATTCGCGCATTCTATAAATCAATTTCAAAATTCGCGAATTTCTCGCATTTTGGAAGAAGCTTCGAATTACTCTATTTAGAATAAAATCCGTTTCACTTTTCTTCCTGGATCTCCAGAGCCGGATTATACCTTTCGTAGGCCCTAGGCATAGCCGTTTTTGGGCCCTCCCCTCCTTCCCCCACTCCTCCCCTCTTTTCAAAATATATGCTAAAATTTTCTTGCATATTTTTTTTTAACATTTTTATTAATATGGATTTTAATTTACAAATTTGTTTATCGAACCTTATCTGCAATACCGACATACTGCCGATATTGCAGTTGATATCGATAATACCATTTTACAAGAAATATTTATACTACAAATAGCTTCATAGTTTTCATGATACTACTATGATAACAAAGTGAAGGAAATTAACATTGTCAAAAGTAAATCTTTTGAAATTATGAATGCAAAATTATTATTGAAATTATGAATACAGAAGGAATTATGAATGCAAATGCAGAAGGAGAAAGATCTTTCTCCAGATTAAAATTGATAAAAAATTATTTGCGTTCAACAATGAATCAAGATCGTTTGGCATCGCTCGCACTTATGTCTATTGAATACGACATTTTGCGTAGTTTGGAATTCGACAGCATAATACAAGATTTCGTTGAATCCAAAAATCGCAAAAAAGTAATATATTAGATCATAAGATTCTGCAAAATAATTTATTACCGAAAAATATTATATTTTTATTTGTATCTTCATAATTTTGTGCAAAATACACTTGTTGTTTTTAAAGCTAAATTATTTTTGTCAACAAATTTTTTTCTCCCTAGTTTTTCCTAGGCCCTAGGCATGTGCCTATAGGTTAATCCGGCCCTGTGGATCTCTCATCAATTTCAACTTTTGCTCCGTTATCTAGCTTCCCTATTTACCAGTATTGTTCAGAACCTTTTCGAACAACAGAACACAACCGAACCACGGAACCCCTTTCAGAACGCATTTCTCTGCAACCACGTGTTTACCGTAAGTAAAGTTTTTTTCATGGAAGACGTTCAAATTTTTTATGCACTAATGTAAGAGGGACAAATACCTAGTAAAGGCAAAATCTTCTATGATGATGCAGCAAGAATATTCAATGCTTTAAAAAATAGAAGACGTTAAAAATGTATTATAATAAAAGAAATGATTTTTTTTTTCAAGTCTATTTGTTTTTTTAAAGTTTTTGGAAATCTCACTTAACTTTCTGAAATCTCACCCTGTTTTTGAGAAAGGGTGAGAAATTCTCACCCATTTTTTTTCTATGATGAAAACACTGCTCTGGATAGCTCTTATTTTCGTAATTAAGCCGTCGCTGCTTCCTGTTTTCTGGTGTGAAAGCAAACAAGAAAAAAAAAATAGAGGTCGTCGAAAAAAAAAACGAGAAAAAAAATTATTAGTGTTTCAGATTATAGAAAAAAATTTTGTCTTTGCAATATATATTTATTTTCAATTGTTTCCATTTTTCTAAAAAAATTATACTGTCTAAGAAAATAATTTGAAATTTTTTTTATAGGAAGATGAAGAACCTTTAGAATCGGATGAGTTGCCAGAGCATTTGAGACCACCTCCTAAGATTGATATATCTCAGTTCTCTGACTCTAATCCTGAAGCTATATTGAAAGCTTCTAAAAAGGGAAAATCACTAATGGTTTTTGTGACAGTGTCCGGTAAATTTTGCTCATAATATTCCCTTAGCAAACAGCAGCAAAATTTTATACTTATATTAAGAGAGCTTTAGCATTGTACATTCTTTATTTTGGCAAATGTAACAGGGAAGCATTTTATTTTGTATTGGATTATATAATAATGGTGCTAATTAAAATTAGGAAATTGTTATAGATATTATAAAACCCTTTAACACAAAATACATAAAAATGAATAACAATTAAAAGCAATAATTTAAATTAGCACATGATCAAAATAAAATTGGAAAATAAATTTAGTGGTTCAGTAATGAAATAGCTAAAAAATAATTTACTTATTTGATTATAGCCTGATGGATAACAGTATAACAGACATATTATACAATTAAAAAAATTCCCAAAATAGCATGATGGTACAACTTGGTGAGCTTAGTTAAATATATAAATGAGTTTTTAAGCAAGTTTCTGCCTTCATATAGCAGTTTTTTTTTTTAGAAAACAAAACAATTTCCTTTAAATAAATTGAATGAAAATACATGTCTGCTATAAATATTATTTTTTTCATTCTCATTTATATTCCAAGTAAACCAAAAAACTGCTACAGTTTTTTCGTTATTTGATGAAACTGTGTAGAGTTCAGAAAAATATACTGCATCTGAAGTGAATCCTAATTTTGATAGCCATAAACATTAATTCTTCAAATAATTAATTTAAAAAAATTAATTTTTGCAATCGTTTTTGTAAATATAATCATGATAGGTGCTTTAGGAGCATTTTTATTTCTAAAGCAATATTTACATGTTTTTAGGGAAATATATACTAATTTTAAAACTATGCCTAAATTACCCCATCGGACTAACAAATTCCAAAATGAGCTTCTAAATGCTATTGGAATACACACTGGAGTAAAGTGGGTTTATCAAAACATGTTCTTTTGAATGCATTACTGTAAGAAAACAATCAAGCAAAATAGATAAGTTATGACTCATATATTAATATATGAATCCAATCTATATAAAAGGCATCAATATTTTCAATAAAATAAATTTAAGAATTTAGTTTTAGAACCTTCTCTGAAGAAAACTTGATTTTTACCCACTTTACCCCATCTGACCCTAACGTTTATAAAGCTCTAAGATGAAGTTAATTATAAATGTTAATTTTTTTTTAAAATTTTTAGGTAACCCCACTGAAAAAGAAACTGAAGATATAACAACTCTCTGGCAAACTAGTTTAATGAATAATCACATAAATATTGACAGGTAACAAATTTCCTTCATTGTTATGTAAAGATTTTAATATTCCTTAGACTATCCTGTTTTTATTGTTTGATAGACAGTTAAAACAACACAATCTAATGTAATTATCTAGTAAATTATCTGTACCTAATTGTTAATCTGAAATGACTTAATGATCAAAATAACTACTATTTTTTGTTTAAGAACAAGCTAGTTTCATTAATTTGAAACACAAGGCTCCCACGGTACTTGAAAAACTTTGAAAGTCTTTGAATTTTTTGGAAAAATCAGGTACCTGAAAAGTCTTGGAATTCTGTGATAGGGTCTTTGAAAAGTTATTATTTTCTCAGAGTAATTTTCAAAAAAGTAATATCTGTCCTACATAAAATAAGAGAAATGTGAAATAAAAGAGAGAAACTTCAAGCAAAATGATAGAAATTTCAATCACTCTCCCTCTTTCCCCATCCTTTCCTCATTTTTCTTATTTTCGAAGAAACTCTAATTCTTATTTACCCTTCTCCTGTGATTGGATTACAAAATACAAGTAGGTGTGCGGAGACAAATAGTGAAAGGGAAATATTGAACAAAACTACACTTAATATTAGCAATTTTCAACAATGTCTAATTTATAAAACATGTACAGTTTTTGAAATTTTTTATTTTATTTGCTAATTTGTGAAAAAAAGTTTTTATATTCAAAGAGAATGAAAGGGACTTACCAAAACTCTATTTTTTCATTTTCCAATACTGAAAATGTGGTAATATCTGATAGATGCATATTTACAAATCACATGTTAGAGATCTCATTAAAGTGATTCATAAATCAATCACTGGGATTTGCATTAAAATACTTTCTGAATCTCTGAATCATACAATGCCATAGCTGCCAACTGTCCAGAATTTTTCGGATTTGCTCCTAATTTTTAAATCAAAATTCAAAATCTGATATTTTTATAAAAAATCCGAATTTTCGTATTGCTGTATTTTTCCTTTTAAACCAATCCCTGTTTCTGATCGCTGCAGTCGCGCTTCATCTGATTGTGGTGAAGTAATTTTTAGTAGCTTTTTATTGGAAAATACTATTTCAATAGCAGTTGCAGATCATTTCACTAAATTGAATCTTAAACAACTATTATTATGTTTTAAAAAATTTATTGTAGAATTTAAACACTTGCATCAGAAGTATTTGTTTATGGTGTAGTTGAATATCTGCCTGTGTTTTATAATTTGGAGAAGAATAATTATATATTAATAGGTAATGGTTGTTTTTAAACTATTATACTGGTATTCCTAATTATAAAATATTAATATTATAAATTTCCCACAAAAGATAGTTTTTATAATTAATTTTTTTTTATTAATTTATATAAGGTATTTAAATATATATCTATTAGTATTATTATTTAATAGTTAAATTTTTGTCTTACTCTCGTAATTGGTGCATATAATTTTTTCGCATATAGTGTTCCTAATTTTTGATTCCTAAGGTAAGGTAAGTAACTATGCAATATAATCCTAATATGCATTTAAGTGTTTTCTAAATAATGTATCACAATTCTCATTCAAGTGATTTAAGATTAATGCATTGGGATTCGTGTTAGGATTTAAGAATCGTGCATCGCAACTAATGTAAAATGAGTTTAGAAATTACTGTTCGCGATTCTCATCAAAATGACTTATGCAGCACACATAGTGATTCTAGTTTAAATTTTTATTGAAACACAAATCATATTTTGCATTGCAATGATTGCATAGTTACGAATCGGTTTTTGCATGAATATTATTAGCAAATCGTGAATCATATTTACAATCAAACTAATCAAATTGATTTATGTATTACTCATCGCAATTTATGACTGGTTACTTCATGCTTGTTTCTAACTGCATCGTTAGCTTTTCATATTGTTCTGATTTACGAATTATACATTGCATTTCAATTTGTAAGTCTTACATTGCAATACATATTTTGAATGATCTTTAAGGCTTGCTTTACGTTTCATGTAATTTTGACTTATATTAAGCCTATGGTGATTTGTATTGTGGAAGATGGTATGATGTTTTGAAGAAAGTGATTTGAAGGATGATAAATAAAGATAGTTCAGTTAAACAAAGTTAACAACATTTATTAAAACAGTAATGAAAATATATAAATGAAAAGACAGAGAGGATAGCATCTGCTACCCTTGAGTGGGAGAGCAGCTCATTGGTTTATGAAAAAGGTGTGAGGAGAAAAGAGATACTCTATTGTAGCTGTAGATCTTTTATTATATCTTTAAACATATTAGAGAGAGTGGCTATAATACAGGGCTGATTGTGCTCCGGAAAAAATCTGAATTTCCGGAGATCGAAGGCCCAGATGTTTAAAAAAAATCATTGATCCCAGAAGTTTCCGGAAATCAAATTTTCAAAGGTGGAACTTAACGCAGTTTATTTTATTTGTAAGGGAGAGCCAGAGAGATACTTTATGAGCTTATATTCATGATTAATATTCATTTTTTATCAGTAAATAGTTGTTATAATCATAAACTCAAGAAAGAAAGACATATTTGTAAATTTTAATTACTTCTCCAGGTCATCATAGCTATGTGTAAATGGTTTAGGTATGTGTAAAATTTTAAAGATATTTTAAGTAAACTAAGAAATATAGGAAAAAAACCTTGTTTAAATATTTTTTTTCAATTTAAACTGTTTTTTGTTTTTTTTAACTCAAGAAATTTTTTGGAATTTTGACTTGGGCTCACAATCACCCCTGCAATTCTCATTCAAGTGATTTACGATTAATGCATTGGTATTCGTGTTAGGATTTAAGAAACGTGCATCGCAACTAGCATAAGATTAATTTAAAAATTACTGTTCACGACTCTCATCAAAATGTCTTATGCATCACACATAGTGATTCTAATTTAAGTTTCTTATTGAAACACAAATCACATTTTGCATTGCAATGATTATCTAATTAAGAATCAGTTTTTGCATAAAAATTATTAGCAAATCATGCATTGTGTTTTCAATCAAAGTGATTTATGTATTACTCATCACAATTTATGACTGGTTACTTCATGCTTGTTTCTAACTGTATCGTTAGCTATTCATATTGTTCTGATTTACGAATTATATATTGCATTTCGATTTGTAAGTCTTACATTGTGATACATATTTTGAACAATCTTTAAGGCTTGCTTTACTTTTCATGTAATTTTGATTTTCATTAAACCTATGGGGATTTGTATTGAAGATGGTATGATGCTTCGAAGAAAGTGATTTGAAGGATGATAAATAAAGATAGTCCAGTTAAACAAAGTTAACAACATTTATTAAAACAGTAATGAAAATATATAAATGAAAAGACAGAGAGGATAGCATCCGCTACCCTTGAGTGGGAGAGCATCTCATTGGTTTATGAAAAGGGTGTGAGGAGAAAAAAGATACTCTATTGGGTGATGAAGCTGTAGATCTTTTCGCATAAAACATTAAAGAGAGTGGCTATAATACCAACGCTACAGTATATACTCGATTTTAAAATTACACATAGTGAATTATGTGATGTGGTGTATGCTTTTTCAATTTTAGTAATCAATTATTTTTTGGGGATGTCTTAAAAATAACATGATGCATATAAGTATTAATATTTCAGAGTAATTATTTCCCTTTTTTTTTTCAAGGTACCCAATTGGATCTGATAGAGTAATTTTCATGTTTAAAGATGGCAGTCAAGCATGGGAAGCTAAAGATTTTTTGGTTGAACAAAAACGTATGGAAGTAGTAGTCATTGAAAGTAAAGAATATTATGGAAAATACAGCTCTAAAAAAGTATGTTTATTTTTATTATAAATTTTCTTTGATAACATAGTAATTTTTACTCTTTAAAGACTATACCAGAATATCTACAGGTAACAACATATTTATTTTTTACTGCACGAATATTTAACTGCTTTAAGTTTGTCATAATAAATTTACAGAATTTTTAATGAGTCCTAATTTGTACTACTTCCCATCTTTCAATTACAACACTTTTTGCTTTGGGTTAAATTGTTGTAGGCTTTTTGTATCTGAAATAGGAAAGGAAAGAATATAAAATCTAAGTAAAGAAGAAATGTAACTTCTTATCAATACAACTAATGTAATCCTTGTACCTTTTCCTTTACCTTCTTACACCTTGTACCTTTTTTTATACAATATTTTTTAACCAGCAGACACTTAAATAAATTTCTGCATAATGACTAGCACTGGATTACTAGTTTAGTGAACTCTTTTTAATTTCTAACATATTAATGTTATGTGATCATTGAACAAAATAAAACTGATTAAAGCAAAATTTTAATTCAAAACCACATAAATGAGGATTGTATAATGCAGTATATTTTTTCTTTGTATAAACATTATGAACAATGTGGTTAATTAATTTACTTATTTCGAGAATTTGTCTCTTTTCAACATTTCCAAAATTTTCAATTCTTGATAGTCTGTCATTTTTGCTTTTATTATTTGAGATAATGTACAAGTTACCTTCAGTGTATGAAATACTGGTATTGTAGGTATTTTTAGACAGAGTATGAATTGTTAAAATTAGTATGGAATTTACCTAGGCATTCTTTTCAATGACAAGTGTTTAGGCAAAATAGGATAATATTAAATGCATATAATTCACAGAGGAAAGAAAAACTTAATTTTATAGCATTATTTCTCTCTCTCTCTCTCTCTCTTTTCTTTCTAGTATTATGAAGTAGATGACCTAAGCAAAATAGCATTTTTATTCAATAAATAACTTTTTAGTGAAACACAGATTTTACAATAGCTAGTTTATTTCATCATTATTAGTAATATCTGATTTGATAAAACAAACAAACATCAATATTGGGAACATTGAGCAATTGTCCCAACATTGAACAATAATCTTGCCTTGCTATAATTGTGATTAATCTTGCTATTATTAATAATAGATGGTTATTGCTAAGAACCATCGTGTTTTCACTACAATATATGATGTGAGTGAAGATACAAATAATTGCTTGGTTATAAAGTAAATAAATCTGAGACTGGGAAAAAAACAATTTTTTTCATGCAATATGAATATGGAAATAATTTTTTTCAAGGGCATATTAGATATTGTTTGAGTAAGTAAGACTTCTAATATTAATTTGTAGTGTTTCATTGTCTTGTTTGCAACAAATTGTTACATGAGGGGTTATTGTCAATTTAATTATAAGACTTGTTAAACAATTGTTTAGAAGATACTCTGCATATTAAACAATTCATTATTGTTACATTCTCTGTTTAGTTAATATTTAGGTTGTTTTAACACTTTGTTAGGAGTTTTTTTTTTCCTTTCTACTGTTAAACTAATTCTAAGCCATTGTTATTAATGCAAAATCTAAAAGTCATTGTTTGTATTGGTTTTGTTCAAATATATTGTTTTCTGCAACAATTTGTTATCTGAGGAGATAATGACGATTTACTTATTTTATATTTTTTACCTGAGATGATAAGATGTGACAATGTCAATTTAGTTATAACAATAGCAAAGCGATTATTTAGAATTTCCTTTATTAAAACATTACCTTATTGTTACATGTTTTGTTAATATTTTTTTAATGCATTGTTAAGAAAAATATAGTCCATATTGTCAAATCTAGACATTGTTATTAATAGAAAATCAGTGGAATTTTTTGTTTGTAGTTGGCATTTTTTAGTTATGTTGATTATATCTTATGAATTTTAATTTTTTTTTATCCCTTAAGAAAATCTTATTATTCAAAACAGATGTATTTTAGCATTAAAAATGGAATTTTTTCAGTATATTTCAAACTTTTTTTTCATTCTTTTTGGCAGTTGTTTTCTTTTGCTGTAAATTGTGTCAGAATTTTACCTGCTTAAATTAAATCAAAAAAAATACTTATTACTTCTTTGTTTTCAACTATTTTGTTTTTTTTTAAACTAAAAGTTGTTGGAGGAGATAAAAACAAACACATTTTTTAAATAAAAAAAAGAAGAAATAACAACAAAAAAATTTTACTATTATTTTGAAATAGCAAATTAATCTCAAATCCTAACATGTTGCACCAAGAAATAACTTTCTACCAGAGTTTACCAATATACATATTTAATTCATGGGAATTTAGATTCACTAATCAAAAATTTTGAAAACTCAAATCTTGATTTTCGGTCGTAAAAATTGTCCTTGGGAAATTTTTGCCAAAATTCATATTTTTATTATTTTTTTCTTTTGATGTTGGTGACGAAATATTATTATCTCGAAAATTGGTAGTTTATGGCCTTCCCTAATGAAAAGTAGATTACATTGTAAAATTGTAGAAATGAAAGAAAAAATTTAAATTCAATTTATTTTGCTAGTAGGTTTTGTTTTATTTGAAACCTTAGTCTAATTAAGCTGTCATTAGTGAAAAAAAGAGAAAATATTGTGGAAATTTTGTTAAATATTCAATTAATTATTTTTAATTGTTTACTTTGTTAATTAATGCGTAATAATAGTATTAAAGATGCGTTATCTGTGTGTACTAGTGATAGTTTGCTCTAATATTAATTTTTATATCAGAAAATTTAGAAATTTAAACTTATGAATATAATATTTCTTTTTTTAGGATAAAAAATCTAAGAAGAAAGAAGAATTGTAATGATTTAATAATGTAATTGTGACAAAACTATTTTCTTATTGCATTTATTTTGTATACATTTTACTGTATGTAAATAAATATTTATTTTGTATATTTTTCTTAAAGTTAAATAAAAGTTTTTTTCATAATATTTTTTGATTTATTTAAAACCATGACTCAGTAAACATTATTTTAATATTTACATCAAGGCTATTGGTAGAGGGCAATTTTAGCTTATAATTCAGAATGAGATTTTTCCGCTTTTTCTCGCATTTCAGGCGTTTTATGTTTTTTCTATAAAATTTTCCGTCTTTTAGTCAGTTCTGTATATCTTTCGTTTTCTCCAACATGAACTAGTTTTCCTATGAAAATTACTTTTTCTTGCTTTTAGTATGGTGTTACCTTTTTTACTAGGCAATAAGCCTTCTCCTTGCCTCAACTACTTCCTCAACCTCCCCATGCACACAGATCCAGTCATTTTTACGCCGTTTACGCATTTTAAATTGGCGATCGAAATGGGCTGCAGGTGGTGTAGAGCAGAACTCTTTACCTATAGCAACACTTCACATGCTTTCACCATTAGCGTATGGAGAGTCATAGAGGAAGGATGTACATTAGTTTCTGTCTTGATTTTCATGTAGATTAAAATCTTTAAATTTTTAAAACTATATGGAGCTGAAAACTGCATTAAACATAGATCTAAAGAAAAGTGTCATGAAAATTTTAAAAAATATTTTTATTAAATAAAAAGAAAAAATATTAAGAAAAGAGAAATTATCGTAGTGCATTCCTATTCAACTGAAAAGAGGAGGAGAGGAAAGATTGATTTACTGAAACTACATGCATTTGCTAACTTGTGTGCTCAATATAGGCTTATAAGTCATTGTCAAGTAGAAAATACAGATAGAACAATTCAGAGAAAGGCATCACAAAGAATACATCCAGGGTTACGGCGGGATTCGAACCCGCTACCTCCACGCTTAACAGAACGTTTGGACCGGCGATACCGCTCGGCCAGGGAGGCCCCGAGAGGAAAGAGAGAAGGGCCAAAGGCTAGAAACCAGTCTCTCCCCAGAAGGCGTTGCGATCGCCTGTTATTTTTCGGAATATATATCTTTTTTAAATGACGCTTTTTGTGCACGGAATTGGTATCTCAATTGCGTTATTGCCTGTACGGAAGAGAACCGTCGCGCTAAAAAACAGCAGTGAGAACAACCTTCAGCAGATTAACCTCGGGTCCTGCCCGCTTCCGAGAACCCACAAATATCTAAAATTTGGTTATCACTCTCACTGCATACAATTTGCCTCTTAGAATAAGAACCTACTTGCTGATTCTCCCTCGAAGAATTTACCACTTGAATTTGCTATTTCTCTCGATGGAGGACCGGATTGAGTGAATCGCATGCATTTTCACCATTAGAAATGTAGCTTTTCTTTAATCAGATTATTTATTTTTTTGTTGCGTGACCATGACTGCAATATTTAATAAATATTTATTCGACAGCAATATTAAATAATGCCAACAGTTGAAAAAGTTTTTCACATTTTTGTTTTTAAAGTCGAAATCGATTATATTATGAGGTATAATCTGAACGGAGACAGTTTTTTCAATTTTTTCCGTCCACATAATTTCTTTTCGCTAATATTCTCTGTATGATGTAAGAATAACATCTCCATCTGAGTTTTTGCAGCGAAAAAAATGATGTACTGTAAAATCTGTTTAAAATTAGCGATATTTTCCATACAGTTTTGATATTTTTTTTACTTAAAATTGTATTTTATTTCACTTTTAGATTAAAATGGCAAAATATATAGCACAAGTGGTCGTTCTAGGTGCTCAAGTAGTTGGCCGGGCATTTGCTCGCGCATTGAAGCAAGAATATAGTGCTTCAAAAGCTGCAGCCCAGCAGGGTACTTCTCGGAAAGCACAGGAAGTTAATGTGAAGCATGGAATTAGTATTGAAGAAGCGAAAGACATACTTAATGTTCAAAAACTTGATTCTGAGGCAGTCAAAAAATCATACGAACATCTTTTCAGTGTAAATGATAAAGCCAAAGGTGGTTCTTTATATCTACAATCTAAAGTTGTTAGAGCAAAAGAAAGATTAGATGAAGAATTAAATTCACAAAGTTCAGCGAAAGATAATAAAACTGATACAAAAGACTCCACTTGAATGAATTATAATATTCCTTTGCTAGATATGTTTCATATGTTGTTTAGCAGCGAACTCTTGTAATTGTAGTACTGAAATAAAAGCTGAAATAGAGCAAGCGTTAATAAATACATAAGTTTTATTTGTATTATTGTTTGTAATTTGTACATGGTTTTAGTTGTCTTCCATGCTACTTAAGAGTAACTAAAAATTTTAATTTAATTCATTGTTTCTGAAAATTTATTATGCACTATAATAATTAAAATCTTTTATTTCAAATATTTTTTACGATGTTCACTTTTTGTCATAGTGAACAATAAATTAGTTTGTTATGACTCATTGCTAGAGGATATTTCTGTTTTGGTACTTGTTTATGCCAACAAAAGAAACTAAATTTATCATTATTTTGAATAAATTTTAAGATGAAAGTTTATAACAGCTTACCCATGATAGCTACTTCTATTACCTTTTAAGTTTTTGTCATTTTTTTTGGTGCCATGTAAAGTTGGCAAATTATTTTGGCACAAGTTCCAATATGGAAGAAATATTCTCTAAAATCTAACAATTTTTCTTTACTTGCCTTAATGATTCAATGAATTTTAGACTAAGTTTTATAAATTTAATTAACTTGTTACATTCAGATTAAATTTTATAATTTTTCATGTGAATTGGAGAATGTTAGAATATGGTGTTATTTTGTTTTTTTTGATGAATTTTAAACTACAATAAAGAGCATTGGTTAATTCAACAATGTTTTGATATTTTTTTTAACTATTTAATATTTTCAAAATTGCTTGGCTACATTTTTACATATTCAATAACTTCATTCGGTTTACGATTCTTCCCTTATAATTTTCTAAATAAAGACGAACTTCCTAATGATATTTTGTTTGAAAATTCAGAGATTTTGAGGAACTACTATTATCTGATTGATTTGTAAGAGGTAGTTGTTTTATTTATTAAACACTTGTAACCTTTAAAAATACCTAGCATAATATAAGAAAATTTGATTACATAAATATCTGATTTAGAAACAGGAATATACCATGCAAGTTAGGTTCCAAAAATGTTTAAATGTCTAAATTTTAAAATTAACAAACGTAAGATACACATCAGCTATTAAAAGCAGTTATTTTTGACCAAAAATCGTAAGATACTTTACTTGAAATTTAAGTTATAGTTGTGGTAGCTATTACTAACTCTATAACACACGGGAAACACTATTTTAAAAAAAAATTTAAATGCAAATTTTTTTTAAGAAATGTAGAAAATATCTCTAAGGTATTTTGGCTAAACTTCAATGAATTGTATCGCACATTCCTTTAAGTAAGCAATAGTTCCATTTTTATTGTGTTAAATTTAACTTTTTGCTGGTATAAATTGATGTAAAGAGCTATTTATTTAGTATATGAATGTCTTCTTTCATAAATTTTTTTTTTTATAGTTTATTTACTATAAGTTTAGTAAAGGAATATAGAGCAAATATTATAAAAAGTATATGCTAATCAAGAATTGTAAGGTCTTGCAAATCAAGAATCATGTTAAAATATTCTGTCAAAAATGTGATTTATGAGTATTTGTTGCCCTTTAGTAAGCACAATCGTAATATTGACTTATATTATTCAATTTCGGATCATAGCTATTTATTTTTAGTAATTTTAATATTTATCTGATCATAATCCATAAATATCTTATCTTTTAACCTATTAGGAGATTTCTATTGAATATCTCCATATCTATACATTTCCTTCCAGAGGTTTGCCTTTTCTTGTTAAACAGGGATTCTATGATCATGAGGTATTCCCCAGTAATTTTTATTTTACTATGCCAGATTTTTTTATGCCAGTACTGTCCAATCAACACAGAGTATGTAATGACATTTACTTTCGGATCAATAGCGTTCTGCCATTACCTTCGAGGGTCAATCCATTCCTATGAGCCCTATGGCAGAATTTTTTTGGATTTTCTGTGACAAACCTCTCTGGCACTAATATCTTTCTGCAAGATACTTTTAATAATCACAAATATACATGTTACTAATTGAATTTAAAGTAACAAAAATGTTGTGTTTACAAAAAAATAATGATAAAAATACAAAAAAAAAAACCTTTTTGGATAAAATAAAATTTTATAAATTTTTTTAAAAGGGACATGTATTATTTTTTTATTCTAATATCATGCGCGATGTTCTCACATTTCGTAAGAGGAAAGCTCTCTAATTATTTCCTTTTTCGCCATTTCGTAAATCATTGTCACATCGAAAAATAAATAAGAATAGAAAAATCATGAGCATTTCTTTCCCCTCTGATGCATGAAGAAGACATCTTTTGAATATAATTATGGAGAAAAAAAATCTTACAAACGTTTCTGCAGAAAATAAATTTTTTACTTCGTCATTCTTTATTTTTCTTTCTTCTCAAATAAGGATAGAAAAATCCCGAGCATTTATTTCATCCCCACTGGGTTAAAACAGCATCTTTTAAGAATCTACAGCAAAGAAAACCAAAATTTTTTACTTTGTAAAGGAAAATTCTTTCTGCAAGAACTCGTAACGTTCTGTGACAATGTCACTGCTTTTCTGCCACTGGGCCTGTGAGTGATTATTGAAATTCGCAGATAGCGGCTTAAGTAATAAAGCTCTAGAATTAAATTTTTTAACTTACTAATTTTTGTTTTAAATCTACATATACATACCATACCTGCCAAGTCTGTTTTTTAACGAAGACTCTTGTATTTTACGTCTTATCTCCTGTTTACCTGTATATTCTCAAATCTCTCAGTATTATTTTTTTTTTACGATAAAACTTCCGCTCATGGCAAAAATACTTCTCTTATTCTTCAGCAGATGGTACTATCGCCAGTATTGCAGCATGTTGAGTGTTTATAGATTAGATAATTATGAATAATGATTATAAAAAAATCTTCCTTACATTAAGATTTATATATATATTTTTTACTTCGCTGAATGTAAATGCTTATATTATTTCCAATTTTGACTTTCTCTTTTTGACTTACATGATATATCAAAACCCCTGATGCATGATGTATCTGTAGCCCGAAAAATTTCGCTAGTAAGATCTCCGTTATTTTATTTTTGAAATGTTGGCAGGTATGCATATGTGTTTCGATCTTCTGACATTATAATGAACCTCCTCTTCTAATGTCATTAGGTAAAATATTATATTAGTAAGAAACTTTCTCTTTAATTTGAAAAACCTCTGTGTTAAATTTTTTTTTTTAAAGAAAAACATATACATTCCAAAACTTTGCTATATTGAAAGATAGTAACACTATTCTACAGCCATTTTTAAAAAGAAAGTATTTTCCTTTGTTATTTTGTTAAATTGTTTAACAAATATTTAAGTAACTTTTTCCTCAAAATTTAAGTCTTCTAAGAAAATCAGCAACATTTCTTACATTTAATATCAGTTGTGTTGATTGGTATTGTTAAGACTGCTTCAATAACTCAATGAAGTCCTCTTTTGGAATCAAAGTACATTTGTTACTCATCTTCAGTGAATGCCACAGTATTTATGCTTATTTAAATTGTGTGATAATGCTGCCTCTTAATATCTCATTTCTTCTGTGACTATTAGCCATCTTCTGCAATATCTTTCGCCCTCTGTGAAAGATATCAATCTTGTGCAGAGACGATCTGAACAAGGTTTGTTATCTTAGTTTATCTCTTTTTATCCCAAAATTGCTTAAACCAGTAGATTGCAACCTGTGCTCTGTAACCTGTAAAAAACCTGTTCCTGAGATGTTTCAACTTTTCTATTTATTTGTTGCTTCGTTTCAATTTGATGTTGGTTTTCACTCATAACATTCTATTATATCTGTATGCAATTGAATGGTGTGTGTATCAGACTAACGTGCATTGGTTCTTTGCTAAATGCTGTCTCTTCTGTACATGCATATTGCATGTGCCTGCATTCTTTTTAAGATAATAACCATTTACACTTTTTAAATAGATATTGTTTATAATAGTTTAAACAAAGTTTTTAAGGATGAATTAGTTTCCTTTCTTTATTTATATAGAGTGTTAATAAGAGTTGTTTTGGTGTTTCCTCTCAAAAGTTGGGGCCCTGCATTGGAATTTTCAACAATTTTATATTCGTCTGACCTGACATTTTTCATAAGGCAAATTTTTATTGGACTGCCAGAGGCCTCATATCTGATATGGTCTCTGTCTCAATGTAGGATAAAAAAGAGAAAAAAATATTTTATTGCAAAGAGGTATTCTGTTTCTTTAGATTTACTTTAGTGTATTTTTTAAAAATGTTTTGCATTTAATTTATCAATGTTTGATTTAATTATTTTGCATATTATTATATTTTGTTTAAAAAATTTCAAGATTTGATTAAATTATTTTGCATATTATTATATTTTGTTTAAATAATTTTAGATTTATGTATTTTGAAAAGATTGACTTAGTTGAAAGAATAAGTGGTAGAAAGAGCTACTTAACATAAAGAAAATTTGTGATAAGATTAGTCTTCAGTGTTTTATGCCTGTTTTTTGACTCAAGCTCTTTAGAATAGCTTTTTCTAAGAATACTATTGCTATAATCCTCTAATCTCCTTTTTAATGTCGTTTAAAATTTTATTTTATGATAATATAGGTAAATTTTAAAAGAATGCAACAATTTAGATTATGCCATTTTATTGCTTTTCCAGTCCATTTCATCAATTATTTCAGTGTACTAGATTCAAATACCTCTTGTAGATCTTATTTCAATTTCTAAGTGTATTAAATAGTTTTAAATTTCATTTAATGTACCATGTCGACATAGCTTCCACTGACTGCAGCAACTAAATCGCTGTGTGTGGCAAGCTCAACAAAAACAATCAAATTTTGCTATATTTAAATCCTTTTATTTGCATGTGTCTTATCATTAACGACCATACTTTTATATTATAGTGACCCTACATAAAGCTAGTCAAAAAATTTAGCTAGATCATTATTCTAACTTGCCAAAATTACAGTTACAAACACTATGCATCTATTTGCTTTGCTGTAATATCTTTGTAGGCTATTTCATTAACTCATAATTATTATTTTATTTTTAGTTTGTTATATATTTTGCTAAACATAGTTGCTTTGCTTTTAAACGTTTGTAATTTCATATCTTTAACTATTATTTATGAT